CCCCTCACCCCCTCGCTCACTTTCCCACCTCGTTCTGGGCGTCTTTAAATAGGTACAGAACATCTAAACTAAATACCTGACAGTGATACGACTTCTTCTTCTCGTTTTGAGACCTGTCAAAAATTTAATAAATTCTTTTATTCATTCTATCGATAGATTCATAGAGCATCAAAATCAATCGCTTTTAGGTTTGAAATTAAATATTTTACAAAATCATTTCGGTAGAATTATTTATTCGTGGCACAAGAACAAGAACCCAAACCCTGTAACATCCATTGAATTATAAGATTGACAGTGTTTGTAAGAAACTATGTTAGGCACAAGACGAAAACGTAGACTAGTTACTGCCAGATAATAACAAAAAATGTGTCCAATTAATAAAGAAACGCAGCTCATTTTCTTTTCATTGATTCTCATTTCATCATTCATCCTAGTTTTGTTCAATCATCACTTTATACATCACACCTTGTTGCATTTTTCATGAAGACGTCGTCATTAATTATGTTTAAACGATTTTGTCCATCATTGTCAGTGTTAGGTTTCTTAAAAATAAAATTTTTCACACAAAATGCATTCTTGTTTTGTTCACCTAAACCTCCAACAATAAGAAAAATTCAGCACATATACAAGTTTTTTCTTTTTTTGTTCTTTTCACACATTAGAATGTTTATTTTGCATTTCCACCATCATTAACCTTTTCTGCACCACTTTCTCCTTTGAGTTGCCGATTCTGTCCTTCAATTTCGCGTCTTTGTTCTAGTTGACGATCTTTTTGTTGTAGTTGATGATCTTTTTCCTCCAGTTGACGATTTCGTTCCTCAATTTGGCGATTTTTTTGCTCTAATTGACGATTTTTTTGAACGAGTCGACTCAGTCGACGAAATTGAAGGACTGAATGATTCAGTCCTTCAATTTCGCGATTTTTTGCTCCAATTGACGATTCCGTTCTTGAATTGCGCGGTTTTTTTGTTCCAGTTGACGATTCTTTTCTTCAATTTGACCTTCTAACATATCAATCCTGTTTTCGCATAGCTCCTTCTAAACGAAATGCAAATTTACCCCGATCACAGTAGTGGGTGTCTCATCGTTCTTTTATCTTACGAAGGAACGTTCTCAGGTGTCGGATTCCGATTTTCTTGGTTCATACGCCGATCGATAGGTCAT